AGCACGTGAAGGAGGACACGCCATTTCCCAAGAAATTCTAGGGCAGGATTTTTCCGGGCAGTGAGATTCCTTTTTTTTTTTTTTTTTTTTTTTTTTATTTTGTGGTTATGTTTTTCAACGTTTCATTTAAATGAATGGGAGTTCTGGGGCATGACTCAGATGAGAATGAGACATAAAAACATCCTGAGAACAAATACAGTTGTATTTCTCCCCTGTACCTCCATACTAAGGTGTCTCAGTGCCCTGTGTTTTCTTACATTAAATAGGCATTTTTTGATGCTGGGGAAGAACAGTTAGTTTTATTTATCTAGCCATTCAAGTCAGGATGGTCAGCCAGGTCTTTCTGTTACTGCTCAGCCTATTTTTGCAGATTAGGATCTCAGTTCTGCCAGAGTTCATCAGAACATAACAAGTATATTCATCATTGAAAAAAACAGTGATGCAATTAAATTGGGCTATCAGAGCTAACTTATTTTAGCCCCAGAAGCTGGCATTTGTGTTTGGGCTGCAGTCTGTATAGAAAACTGCACTTTGTTCATTTGATTCTCTGCCTTATTTCCACTGGCTGTGCTGCTCTTGGTTCTCCCCCCACCCTCATTTAACCACCTTGCTGTGCTGGTGGAACCAACACCTGCTTGTCAGTGCAGAGGTGGCCAAGCCAAGCACCTCAAACCAGGCTTCATCATGCTGCTCTGCAAAGCCACAGAAGTTCTGCCAGCTTTTTTTTTGTGGGATCGACCCAAGCTCTGCTGACAACATTGAATTATGCAAAGCCCTGTACAAGCAGAGAACATAACCTCTGTATATTTTGGGTTTGCCTCATTTGAATCATATTCCACTCAACCCTTTGTTTTTTCTTATTTTGTAAGTAGACTTTCATGAAAAATGAAAATTAAAAAAGAGGGGAGTTTTCTTCCTGGGCTATTTTTTTTAAATTTTTTTTTCACCCCTCACAGGACCTGCCAGAGCCCTGGTAAGTCTCACTTGAACACCAAGAGCTGCTCCACATCTCTGCTGAGCAGCTGGGGCTCCAAGCACTCTCTGAGGCTGTTGGCCCACCACTGTCCTCTGGGTTTATCTCAACTCTACCCCCAGTTTTGTCACTGTATCCTTCAATCCCCTCTCTCCCCATAAAAGTGTCTAGCTGTCTCTTAAACTCACTTTACCATTTGCTTCTTTGACCTCGCTTGGCAACTTATCCTTGTGTTTATTATTTGAGGTGGAATAGTTCTGGCTACATTCCTGGTTTTACTCTTAATTGTCTAATTTTTAGAATGGTGTCAGTGGGGTTGGGGTTTGGGTTTGGGTTTTTTTTAACTCATCACTCTTGTGAAGACCAGGTCTTCTGTTTCATTAGGCTCCCTTGTGTCATCAGGACTTCCAATAACTCAAAGGATCCTAATGAACATTTTATTGGATCTTCCCAAATATTGCAGCTGGACTTTCTTGTCCATTAGTGCCACTCTGAACTGCATGCACTGCCTTTAATTACTTTTTTGTTAATTGGAGTGCAGGGAGGGGAATGAGGGTCATCCCCAAGAAAGGAAAAGCTCAGTGATTTTCCCTACAGCAGGAAGTTACAAGCAGGGCTCAAGCAGGACTGAGCAGCAGAACCTCCCCAGGTCCTCTGGCAGCTGGTGTCAGCTGTGCCAGCTGGTGGCCTTTGGGTGGCACCTCATGCCAGGAGGACCTGGGCACCTAAGGACCCGCTCCAGAGTTTTTTTCTTGGGCTGTTAAACAAAGTGCAGGGAGCAGCTCGCTTACCGTGCTGGATTTGCTGTCAGGTCCTATGGGTGACAAAACCAGGCTGCACACAGCAGGCTTTTCTCAGAAAACTCCCATTTCTGGGGAGCAGAGAGGAGGGAAAAACACTGGGTGAAGGCACCTACCTGCACCTCCAGGAACTGCTCCCAGCTGCTGCAAGGTGGGTTGTTGGAGCAGTGAAATGAATCCTACTGACATCCTGAAACAGATAGGCCTGGTTGGAGTGGCTTCTGAAATGGGCAATTTGCTTAACCCACCACAGAAAGAGAAGGAAAGAGGAGGAAAGAGAAGGAAAGAGAAGGAAAGAGAAGGAAGGAGAAGGAAAGGGAAGGAAAGAGAAGGAAAGGGAAGTAAAGAGAAGGAAAGAGAAGGAAAGAGAAGGAAGGAGAAGGAAGGAGAAGGAAAGAGAAGGAAGGAGAAGGAAAGAGAAGAGCTACTTCTTTACAGGTCCCCCCTTCCCTTACAGGAACCATCACCTGTCTGAAGGATGGGTTAGCTCCAGGTAGGTTCCCTAACTGAAGCAACCTCTTGCTTGGCCAGCACAGTCCATAGCCATGAACACATGCAGCAGAAGCACATCCTGTGGCTACAAGCACATCCTGTGGCAGGCTCACTCTAGTGCTTTCCTAAAACAGACACTTTGCTGGATTCACCTTCCTCAAAAATATTCAGCCAAATCAGCTCTTGAATTCAAGTTGACACCATCAGAGAGGGAGAAGATGACATTCCCTTTCCTACTCAACATATTGTATCTCAGGAAGTGCCAAGAAAAAAGAGAAGTGTTATCTATATAATGAACATTCTCCATTTGTGGAGCTACAGAAGCCATGGGACAGGAAGAGGGTGCCAATCCCACTGAGACATTAACCATCAGCCGTAACACCATCAGTCACCATTTTCAGTTTAACAACACAGGGCAGAGGCATAAAAGATTTGCTCAATTAATTGTGGGATTGAAATTTTTCCAGAGAGCTGAGGATACTTGTAAGATATAATGGAGTGCAGCCCCCTCATCTCTCATGTGGAGGTCAAGCTCACAGAAACTTGGCCTGCTGATCAATCTTTGTGTGTCCCAAAAAGAGGAATTGCAGGCTGCAAGAGCCAGCATCAGGGAGCAGCTTCAGAGAAATTCATGCAGTAAAGCACTTCCATAAAGGTGGCTTACCTTGCTGACAGAATCCCAAAACCAGGGAAATGAAAGACAGAGACATGAAATGCCTCTCTTAACAAACAGCTTAAAATAACTGGGAATAAAAATTGTAAAAATCTTGTAAACATTTGCCATTGTGCTCTCCGTGCTTGGCAGGTTGGGGGGGCGTAATGACCATCAAAGAGCAGAGCAGCAGTAAGTCTTTCACTGAGAAAGTGGTGACAGCACAAGCAAAAGGACATGCTCTGTCACTCATCAACCCACGCTTCATTTTTTGTAGCCATCTACTATTATTATTCGGCATGTGATTCCCCAAGCAGCAAACCAGGGCTGTAGCTATTTACAGGTCACTGGAAGTCTGGCCTGTGCTCCAGTGGAGTTTTGGTTGTATTTCAGGGAAGATAGTTTTATTTATGTTTGACTGATGCAGGCAAAACTGGAGGCTGATTTTTCTTTTTTTGGCTTTTAGTATAAACACTCAAGGCAGCTCTCTATTTTGGGTGCAGACTGAAAAACAGATTGTTTTTTAGCTGCCGAGAACTGCTGGGTAAATCAGAGGACATTGTTATTGCAGCTGAGCTTTTCTTCCAAGAGGGCAGGAGGAGTTGCTTTATTTTTTAATTCTGTGCAGTTTTATGTACATCGTTCGCTCCAAATATTTGATGTTTGCCACACTTGTTATGAGTTTCTCCAGAGAGATGCTGTCTTTTGGCAGCAAAAGATAAAGTTGACTGATACAAATGAGTCACAGTACCCCAACAGTAATTAACAGTGATGCAATACCCAGGCGAAAAAGAGGACTTGAAGAATTAACTGTTGAGTTTTCTTGACGATGCAGCTGCACTTTAAGAGAGAAAGCTCAACCCATCATAGAACTCCATTGTGTACATTAGAGAAAAAAGCTTGGCAAGATACATTAAAGATTTTTGCTAAAGAGATACAAATATTTTGCAAGGGCAAAGGGCGCTGAGGCAGGCTGTACTTACTTCCAAAGAAAAGTAGGCAGTATGACAAAGAAACAGTAATATTTCTTTATCTTGGTTTTCACACTTCATCATCTATGAAAGACTGTCTTTTTCAACCTGCTGAACTGATTTAAGCCATCCCAGCTCTAAATTAACTTTTACTTAAAAGTCAGTCTATGACATCCTAATCTAAGAAGTTATCTGTGCTTATGGTTTCAGCCCAGTTCTACAGAAGGCCAGTTCTGCTATTTATAAATGGGATTTTGCTTGTTCTATAAAGTTCTTACACAAATCTCACGGCTCAAAAGAGAAGGAATGGTTGGGTAAGAAGACGAAGGATTGAAGCAACTGCTTTATAGCACAATATGAAACTTGACACTGTTTTCTGCTGCCAGTATGATTCCCAAGTGAGATGGATAAATTGTGGTCAAGACCTGGACAGGTTAACTAGTGGTCATCAGTGCTGGTGGTACCTTTATATACAAAAAAAAAAAAAAAAAAAAAAAAAAAAAAAAAAAAGGATACTATTGGACAGGGCATTTGAAATTTAATACCAGACATGACACAAGACATCTGTTGGACTCTCATTTGTTTCTCTTTGAATGGGCTTTAATTGAAAGCTCAGTGAAAAATGCAGGTTACATTCTTAGTGTTATCAATAGTTTGGAACAGCAACAACATCAGAACAGTGATGCTTCTAATATTTATACATTTTCTAGTTGGAGATGTCTAATAGCAATACATTATCAGATATATATATATACACACAATTTCAAGCAATTAAAAGTAAATAATAAACCCCTCCTCCCAAAACCCTGAAATAATATATTTCCTTACACTAATAATGTCTTTTTCACATATACTTGACAAAGAGTCTTTTTTAAGTTACTTATCTTAAGAGTAATCTGTTAATGGAGATCCTGGACCAGCCCCATTAGAAGTTCAGTTTTAAGTTTATACAGCTTGCTACCACATAACCAGTGTGGCTTTACATTGTAAACAAATCCCAAATGTCTACAATGATGGAAATTAGTTTTGTGTAAAGGAGATCTATGCATTTCATGATAGAATAAATTTAAACCAATACATTAAAAAGAGAGAGAGAGAAGGAGCGAGCTAATTGACAAACAAAACAGTTTTGAGGGTTCAGTTATGCAATTCTTTAAAAACCAAGTTAACTTAATGGTAAGATTCTTAATTTTTTGTACAGAGAGGCTCTGGGTCATCTGGCTTTAGCTGCTCTAGAAAAACAACCTTTTAAAAAAAGGTTTGACTTGTGAAATTTCAAAAGCAGAGCTTCCAACTCTAAAAGGCTGCCCTTTGGCAGTACAAAGGTTACCAGAAGTATCTCAGGTGACTGTTCCTTCATCTTGTGAGGAAAGCTGCACTAGCATTCAGGAGCCTCAGCATATGCAGGGATGATGTAAGTGCAGAGCTGACCTTCAACAGGGAGGAATCATCCTACCCACTGCAGGAATTAAAAAGGTACAGCAATTTGTACCTGGAAAAGTTCAAGTGAAAATAACACAAAAAAAGCTGGAGACAGACATGAAAGCTGAGCACAGTTTATAGTAATCTTGAAACTGTGATGGTCTCGCCTACTTTTGTACAAAACCACAAGTAAAAACCTCTTGAACTTATTGCCTGGGAACTTGTGCAGCTCCAAAGGGAAGGGCAGGCTGAGCAGAATCCTACGTTTGAGTTAACTTGTGTCAGATAGGATGCGAAGGCAGCTGCAGCTCTCTGACAGAGGTGATCGAGGATGGCTGAGAAACTTTGCAGTAGCTTATAATGTCCCATCTGGTATTTTCACTTGTTTGAACTGTCTAAAGGGCCAACTGCAGTTTAGTCATGTTCCTCTGGTGCATGTTGTGATGACGAACTAATTCATCAGACCTGGCAAATTTTTTTTGACAGCTGGGCCACCGGCAACTGAAAGGCTTTTCACCTGTTAACAAAACACCCTGTTATTAGCTGAGCACACAGCTCATCTGAGACACTGCTATTTGTTTTCTTTCTGGGGGGGCTGTGAGGAGCCCCTGTCAGGAGGAAAGGCACCCTGGGCTGTCCTGAGAGGGCGTGGGAGCTCCCCCAGCTCCTGCTCCCATCAGCGCTCATCGGTGCCTCCCTACCTCTGCCTCAGCTGATGTTTACCAACAGCCTTTCCAGGTGATGCAGAACACTTTGCAGTGGTTCACTCCTGAGGACAGGCCCTTGCTGAGCACCGTGCTGCCACGACTGTGCTGCTCTTAGCTCTCAAATGACCAAGTCTCAAAGTCACCCTGGCATCCGCACAAGCTTCAGTCACACCTCGGGCGGCGGTGCAGACACTCTGTTAGTCACCGTGGAAACTGTCAGGGACTTTCTAGAGCTTGACCTCCAGTCAAGGGGAGTTTTTTCCAGCTAATTCAACGAGTTTTGGCTGAAGTTCTTTGAAACTGGTGAGTGTAAGTGAATATGGTAGAAGCAAGAGGGTTCAGCGTGGAGTCTGCTGAGCCACACTCAAAGTTTTCCACTGCTATCTAAATAAAGTGGATTCACATCTATGGGAGATATCAAATGCTCAAAATAGCATTTTTCTAACATTTTCATGAGCATAATATTCACTACAAATAACTCCAAGCAAAGCACATTCAAATTTAACAAGAAATGCCACCGCTTTTTAACCGTTTTAACCTGGTCTCTTGATTTCCTGCAGCATGTAAGTGGAATTTCAGGCTGTGTTTGTGATGCCACAGGAATGCTGATGGAATGCTTTCATTAGCTCAGAGCAGTGCCCGGTGACTCATGCTCCTTCTTTTCTTTTTTTTTTTTTTTTTTTTTCCTCAAAATAAATGCAATATTTTAAAGTATGTTCAGCTCTGGGGCTGGGCTCTTCAGTGCTGTCCACACACCTCATCCTCTCTAACACACTCCAGACACGCTGGGGTGGTACAACCTCACCCAGGCATCTTCTCTTCTTATTTACCTCACACTCCGGGCATTTCACGAACCTGTTCCAAATTCAGACAAAAGGAGATTTGCATAAATGTGTATTTCTGTTTGCAAACTCCCATGTCAGGTATTTAAGTTGAAAGGGAATTCCTAAAATCTACTTTATCTACTTAGCATAGATGCTGGCAAAAGCATCAACTATCTCCCATGAGTGCATGAAACAGTGGGGGAAAATGGTGCAGATATCAGGGATCACATTTCCATTGCCAAATGTGTCTATGGATGGATAAAACTTCCTTTGATTCTGGTTTTTTTTTTTTTGGTTTTTCGGTTTTGCTTTCAACTGCAAAGATTGCTGTCACAGCAAAATTGCTTGTGAAGGAAAACATCCCTGAATCCTAACAAACAGTTTGGTAGTTGACTAAAATTAGGATAGAATTGCATGGATTTGCTTTGATTCCTGAAGATTTAACGCTCAGCAAGTTAACTTGAGCTAGGTGCTTTGCCACATAATCCAAGGGCTATGAAAAAGAAAGAGGAGTGAAGCTGCAGGGCAAGGTGGGGATGAAAAATCCCTACCCACCACTCGTGCTCATCCCCCTCAGGAGCTGACACATCCAAAATCGTTGTCAGGGGTGGCTCCATAACACAGCCCAGCTGCTGTGCCAGCGGCAGGCAGCAAACCCAGGGCAAGGATTGTGGGGCTCAGCTCCCAGGGAGCCACTGGGACAGGGAGAGGAGCTTCACTAGCACAAAAGAGAGCAAGTGTAGCTAATCTGGGCTATAAAAGATGGCTGGAGTCATGCAAGTCCTGAATTACAGATCGGTTATTAGTGAAATGTGATGGGAACGTAGTTCATCCCAGCTTGCCAGCGTGTTACCACCACTTGCCATTTTGTCTCTCCCAGAACATTACCTCTTGCTGGTTAAGAAAACATCTTTCTTCATGGAAATGCACAGAGCCCCAGGCCCTGCAGCTCAGCAGGACCATGGGGACAACCCAGGAGCACAGCCTTTGCCATTTGCAGATTGCAAGTGTAGACATGGCCATTGGGTGAAGCATTTATTTGGCCAGAGCCACAGAAAATGCCACTGTTCTCAGGTGAATCATTTCCTTTATTAAAATTTCTCTTTTATTTTTGGAAGTCTGAAATGTGTGTTTTTATGGTCCAGAAGAGAAAAAAGAATTCTTAGCAGGGAGAAAAAGATTTTCAGGCTCCTTGTCCATCTGTACAGAGACTGAATTTAAAAGGTTAACACCAGTATGGAAAACGCCGTGACATCTAACAACATGCCAAAGTGCTTGGTAAACAATTACTCGGTAAAAACACTGCATACACAGCAGAAGGAACAGCAGATGTCAGTACACAGGACTAATTCTAAAACCTAAAACTAAAATACAGAGCTTGCTGCAGTTGCTCCTTAATGGTGTTTACATTTATGTGAGAGCAGAGCAGGCTAAAATGGCCTCCTTTTTCCCCCCTGTATTTAGATTAAAAACTACAGTTTCTACCAAAAAAAAAAAATATAAAAGGTCCTTGAATATTTGAGTAAGCTTTTACTTTAGTGTCTGTCAGTGTGAGTTTGCAAAAGGCACTGCTTTTATCTGCTGGAGAGATTACAGCACAAGCAGCAGCAGCAGGAGCTTTGCTGTGCTATCCTGCATCAGGCTCAGCTGACACTTGGGAGAAGCATGAGTAGGCACGAATACTTTAGATTACAGACCTTTGGCCAAAGCTAGAATTAAATTTTCTATCTTGTAGGGCTCTTTCAGTAAAGGCAGTAGATCAACTTGACATTTGTGGGCTGAGACCACGATGCTCATTTCATAACAGCTGACAAAATTTATTTTGCCAAGCTGAAATTTTTTTAAACATGAAGGAGGAAAGCATAGTTTCTAAAATCACCTAAATCACTTTGTGAAAAGTGACTATCACACTTGGGGAAAGCAGCCACAATGAAAAACCAGCACACTGAAATTCTTTCTGCTGTTTTGAATATTTAAATCCTGGTTGAGACACTTTCTATCCATGTAATTCACAACAACATTGATTTAAAATTAAAAAAAAAATAAATATAAATGTGAAGAAAAGTTTACGCACTTGTTTTACCTGTATGAGTCCTGGTATGAGTCTTCAGATGATCAGATCTGGAGAACTTTCTCTGACAAGTTTTACACTGAAAGGGTTTCACACCTAAGAGACAGAAAAAAAAAAATCTATTCTTATGTCCCAGCATTTTTGGAAGGTTGAAAGATAGCAGATATTTCTGAAGTTTCAAAAGCCTGGATTTTTTTGGGTTTTTTGTTACTGTAACTGCTCCTCCCAGCCCTGTGCCTACACATTACAGAAAGTTAGTCATTAATGAGGCTTTGTAACCTCCTTTGTAACCTCCTCTGCCAGTGCCTGGGTCTGAACAGCTCCACCATAAACAAACACCCACTGAAGTCATCTGCAAATTATAGTAAATTAAAATGTAGCATTAAAATTGCACATTATTGAATAAAAAATGTAGCATTAGTGTTGTAAATCCTGACCCTGAGGTTTGGCCCTGAGGGTATCCTGCAGGAGCAAATGGGACATAAGAAAAAATCTATTTTCATGGGCTCCCAATAGGCTTAACTTACTTCACATTATTAATTTACACATGATGCAGAGGTCTTGAGCAAATTTTACACACTGGCAAATTTTTCTTGCAGAACTGTTTAGTTTTAAGCACAATATATTCTTAATATTGGACATAGAGTATAGAGCAAACAGTTTCATTATGAAAGTTCTTTCAAAAGATGGTGTCAGGATGTAAAAGCCATGAGAAGACAACCCCAGAAAAATAGAAATTTGAGGAGTACAACTTCAGAATCACAATTCCTGTATACTGATCAACTCCAATTACAGGCAGGTCTTGTACACAAACCTGTGTGTCGTCTTTGGTGCCTTTTGAGTTGGTCTGAACGAGAAAATCTTCGTTCACAGTCTTTAAAATCACACTGATAAGGTTTCTCACCTGGAGAGGAAAAACAGTTTGTTAGAAAATGTGAGAAAATGAGGGAGCACCTCAGGCTGAGCCAGAAGATGAAATGTGCTGCTCTGAAAGATTTCCCTGCAGTCTGAAGCAGTCTAGTGGCACACCAGAACTGATTTGTCACAAAGCCACACAGCTCTGGTGGAAAGGCTGGCAAAACTCTGCTGCATTGACACTGATACTGAATCTGCTCACTCTAAGAAAATTAGCAGGTTAAAGAAGCAAAATATTTCTGGTTGAGTGAATTTTTGGTTTTTTTCTGCTGCAAAAGAGCAGGAATGTCTTGGTTTATATTTCTCTAAAAACCCCATTAAACCCTTTCAGTAGCACCTGTTTCTGTAGCATTTAATTCATACAGGGGAACAGCTCACAGTTTGAACTAAATTGGGTTTAAAGCAAAAAACTAAGTAAGTTCCATCTACATAGGTGACAGTTTTAACCACATTAATTAGAACAAAGCTGAGAAAAAAATTCAACCTCAGAAAAACACATATTCTTCCCCAAAACATGAATTAGATTTCTTCCATAAAGAGCCATTAAATAGAATTTCTCATGTAGCTGCACAGCTCCCACAGGCAAAGCCATGAATTATTGCAAAGCCTCATGTAAATATAAACTCTGGAAAGGCTGCATTGACACTGATACTGAATCTGCTCACTCTAAGAAAATTAGCAGGTTAAAGAAGCAAAATATTTCTGGTTGAGTGAATTTTTGGTTTTTTTCTGCTGCAAAAGAGCAGGAATGTCTTGGTTTATATTTCTCTAAAAACCCCATTAAACCCTTTCAGTAGCACCTGTTTCTGTAGCATTTAATTCATACAGGGGAACAGCTCACAGTTTGAACTAAATTGGGTTTAAAGCAAAAACTAAACAAGTTCCATCTACATAGGTGACAGTTTTAACCACATTAATTAGAACAAAGCTGAGAAAAAAATTCAACCTCAGAAAAACACATATTCTTCCCCAAAACATGAATTAGATTTCTTCCATAAAGAGCCATTAAATAGAATTTCTCATGTAGCTGCACAGCTCCCACAGGCAAAGCCATGAATTATTGCAAAGCCTCATGTAAATATAAACTCTTCTCCTCCTCCCATGCAGTTCAGCAGAGATCCTCAGGCTGGGATTTCTCTTGGATGAAAAGTAAGATCCTGAGTTTTTTACAAAAAGAAATCCCCACAAGCCAGTGTCTCAAATGAACACAGATTTCAGTGCAAAGGACTGCACAAAAACATGCAAAAAGAAATGCAACAACTGAGGAATCTGAGGAAAGAGGGAAATACTGCCAGCAGAGCACAGGGGTGGTGAAATTTGGGCAAGTTCAGCCAAAACAATCCTCATGCTGTTACAGGAGGAGATCCATGATCTTCCAGATCTGACTTCCTCCTAAACTAAGGTCCCTTTGCACAGCCCTGGAATCCTGCTGAAGCCTCAGGCATTTATTACATTTAATAAACGTCTTAATAAATCTCAACTCCATTAAATGACATTTATGCCCACAGACAGTCTGGTTCCAGCAGCACAGCACAGAGCCTCAGCAGGAGCAGGAGTGGAACTGCAGAGCTGGGAGGATGCTGGGCTTTGTCTGGGAGTTCTGCAAGAGTAGAAGAGTAAAAAGGAGAACAAGCCTGTTGCTGACAAGAACAGATGACAAAAGGAGGCTGATTCTGCAGCCTGCAAGTGGGAATGAGAATCTGAAGGCTGGTCTTTCACCAATTTAAACCCCTCTTCTCAAGTAAGAGGCAGCAGCTCTGCCTGCTGTGGGAAGCTGAGATGCAAACCAAAGATCCTGTGGGACATTTTCCTACAGGAAAACACCAGCTGGAGCGGGCAGAGGGGTTGGTTTATCTCTGTTTCATTTTACCCTCCATTGCAGGTGTCTCCATGTCTGATTCTGTGGTGAGGAAATTTATTCTGCTTGCACTGGTATTCTGAGACAGCAAAGCAAGCCAGTTTAGTTTAAAGCAGATGCCTTTTGACCCAGGTGACAGAGAACAAGCAGCATATTAAGGAGAGAGTTCCAAAATTCATCCTGGTGCAGTTAAAATAAAAATTTCACAAAAGCAACTAAATCTGCAAGAACAAGCTGACTTCCTGTGACAGTCACCCCAAGGACTTCACTGATTCTCAAACCTGGGTGTGGACAATTTCTATGTCTGCTGGGCTTAATTTATTAGCATAGGAGATTAAAGTTGCCACAGGTGTTTGAAATAGTTCCATACACTTTGACCACAAGGACTCCCTGGGGGGTGCCTGTTTTTCAGAAACCACTTACTTCCAAGGAATTCAGCCCTTTGGCAGATTTAAGAGGGGGAATGTCAGCAGAGCAGAATGCAGTGACAGGATGATTGTCTGCTAATTGCAATATAAACTTAGAAGATGGCTAAGGAGGCATTGGAATAAAACAGCATAGAGGGTCTGATGGTATGCACGTGAAAGTATTTCTTTAAATACTTTGTAAAATAATCTTGGTTAAATTAAAGTCAGATTTAACCCATGCAGATACTAAAGGAAACAACCTAAAATGTTTACATAGGGATACAATGACACAGGGAAGAAAACAAAAAGCAAATAAACAAAAAGAGGCACAACATTAGACAGAAAACCTAATTTCCCTTTCCTTCTACAGCTGCCAAAGCTGACTGTCACATAAATTTCCTCAGAACGGGACGACAGAAACATCCCAGATGAGAAAAGGTCTGTTCCATGAAATTCCCACAGTGAGAGCGCCTCATTTCCCCAGCCCTACCAAAGCCTCTCCAGAAAAAGGCTGAAGTCTCCTTGTCTATGAAAATATCCAGTAATGCTGTCACCTCCTTGTGTGAACACACACAGGGCCAAAATAAAACAGGAGATGCAGGTGGAGCTTCACCAGCCCTCCTGCCTGAGACATGATCACTTACACTACTGAAAGAGGCATGCAAAAGAAAGGGCACCATGAAATAATAAAGATGAGAGAGGGTAGAGGGAATGGCATGCCTTGAATATTTAGGAAATAATTTTTAAAAGAAAAGGTCAAGAATTGTAAAAGAAGCGTGAATCTGCCTTTGCACATACTACAATAAATGTTTCTAATAAAACAGATTTTTGTCAAAAGCAGTTATCTTAAACTAAGGGAAGTGTGCATGTTTTCTCTGGAGCAAATTCATTTGCTCAAGTGCATGGGAAAACAGAAAATGCTACTGCTGAAGCAGTTGCAAAAATATTCACAGTAATTGCTTTAATTAAGGAGTTCTGCAAGAGTACAAGCCTGTTGCTGACAAGAACAGATGAGAAAAGGAGGCTGATTCTGAAACCAGAGCCTGCAAGTGGGAATGAGAATCTGAAGGCTGCTCTCTACATCCTTCACCAATTTAAACCCCTCTTCTTAAATAAGTGTACCCATTTAATCAAACAACTCCCATTATCACAACTTTGCCTTGCTAATCCTATATTTTTATTTAATATAATTTGCTTTAGCAAATTCACACAAAATACAAGTTTATTTATTTACTAGGGAACTTTTACAGTTAACATTTTCTGTAATCTTCACACCATAGCTCAGCTGTGACATGCCATTACTATTCTGAAATTAATCTTGTATTTTAGATACCTAAGCATTTTATTATTTTATGCTGCAGAAGTATCAGCCTGCAAGGATACAGCTTGACACCCTAGCATACAGGACAACCTTCCTGATCTACAGATTCTCACAGTCCATTGCAGACCATACCTGCAGCTGAGCCTATCTGGGCTAAACAACATCCCTGGCTAACAGGCAGAGGATTTTCCCTCTGCAAACCTGTTCAGCTTTGTGTTAGGATAAATCCAGTTTTAGGATAAAAACTGGATTTTATCCTAAAAAAATAAAGGATTTATCCAGTTAGGATAAATCCAGTTTTCCCAATGAGTGACACTGAACCCAAAGGCTCTCTAGAAAGAATGCTGATGCTTCCACCAGAAGTGAAATTTATGGAGGTCTAGACATCAATTTGTTTCTGCAGGGAAGTGCCTGAAGCCTGCCACGGAATGACAACTCACATTATTTGCTGCAAAGTTGAAAAGTTAGATGTATTTCTGCATTTCCTTTCAGAGGCCTATCTGCTGCAGCAAAATACACCAAGATAAGAAAAAAGCTTTTTTGGCTGTACATGTTTCAATGAAGGCATTGTTAGAACAGATAAGCAGCCTCGGAGGGTACAAAGTGTTAACATATTTTCAGCTGAGGCTATTTGAAACATTGGTAAAAACTGATTACAGAATCCAACTTTGTGTTTCAGGGCCTTGCTTGGTTTTGCAATACAGCAACTGGGAAAGAAGGATGGAAGACCTGATGAGCCAGTCCTTTGTATGTATCTATTACAGAAATAAAAAATATAATCTAGAGCCAACAATATCCTGCAAAGATACAATCTGTTGGTTTAATATCATATATATGAAACAACTTGTTTTCAGATCATGTGTTCATCATTTAAAAAATGACCAAAACCTTTGACCTACCACTAATACAGCATAAGGTGGAAACCCCAAACCCATAAGTGAGTCCAGAAGTACCTTACAGGAAGATTAATAAGTTTTTGTTTGTTTGATTCATTAGGAGAGGTGTGACAAACACAACCACATTATTTTTTGAGAAAACTGGTTCCAAATTTTCCTTTTGACATGCAGGAGAAACAAGTCAGGGTTAGACAAACTCGACAAGTTGCAAAGGAAATGGATCTGCATCACAACAGTGGGTTTGGCTACCCAGGACTCCTGAAGAGCATGGCTGTGCAAAACCTCCATGGCCACCAAGTCCAGACCATCCCCACATCCAGCAGTCAGGAAAATACGGCAACTGGGAAGTTATCCCCTCCAGATGCTCCCACACTTCACCAAACCCTCCCAAAATCAGGACTGGCAGACCACAGGAGGAGACAGGAAATGAAGAGCATCATACTCAAAGCTCCTACAGCAGCTGGGAATTTGGTGAATAGAATTCCCAGAGCATAATAATAGGAAATGTCCAGTAGCCATTCAACAGGCTGAGAACAGAACTGCTTTCTGATCCTAAATGTGAACTCCTCAGCCCCAGCAATTTTCATTCCAGCAGTGCAGCATCCCTTGCTTCCCCTCTTCAGCTGCAACCAGCCTGGAAACCTTACAGGGCAATGCTGGCAGCAGCAAACACAAGCTCTGGGAAACAAGTTGGCCTCTTATGCACAGAAACTTGCAAAGGTTTGAGAAAGAAATAATTTTTGCTGTCAGCATGTCAAAATGTGTGTGCAGAAGGGTCTGTGCCCACCTGTACAGAAAAGGTGTGGCAGGGGAGAAAAGTGATTTTCCTCTACCCAGCCCCACTGCAGCATGAGCCAGAGGAGAGGCCCCAAGGAGAATGGGACCCCTCTCTGGGGATTCAGACAGACACAGGCCTATCCCCTATGTGGTTTGGGGTCTTCTGACTTTACAAGCCTAAATTATATATGATATAATATTAAAAATCATCTCCAGCTAAGGGAAAAACATAATATATGTAAGCTGAAGTCCTTGTGATTGATCCAGAAATAACACTGGGTAAGCCAGGCAACTAAATGCAATAAAATACAGGTCCAGAGCAAACAAATAATGACTGCTAAAACACAGAGTAAATCACTTTAGGAATGAAGGAAATAGTGATTATGAGAAAAAAAAAATGCAGAACTGTCTAGGCATAATGGAGAAAAATACTAAATTTAGTGGCCTTCAAAAGATTTCCAAATGTTCTCGGTTCCAATTTATTTACAGAAAATAGAATAGCATTTCTGTAGACCTTCACTTCTAAAGATGAGCTTGCACTTACAGTCTAAAGTATCTTAAATTTTTTATTTCAGCAGCTCTGAAGACAGCTGTCTCAATATTTTCTGACTTGCCCATTCATTAATTAAAAGTGCTTTGTGTTCATTTCTCACAGTTTACACAATTAACTGAGTGAATGGTCTCCAAAAGGAGAAGATTGCAACTATCTTTCATGAGATGTTAGATAATCTTCTAGGTCACCCAGCATGGGCTGCCTTCCTGCCCTCATTCATCCCTTTGGTCTCCCATCACATCAGTGGTTGACTGAACATCCATATTTACAGATTACATGCACAGACTTCTAGGTAAGCACAGAAAGAACTTTCTAAATAAAAATATGACAGCCAATTAAAAAAAAAATTAAAAACCCATAAGGAAGGAACATATCTAAAAATATATCATAATTTTACACATCCAACACCATCAATCTCCCAGTAGGGGAAATAACACTGTCTACTCTTTGGCAAGGTGCAGCAGAGCACTTGATTTCCACATTTTGAGGTCTTATTTTCTCAACTCAGAGAGAATCCAGACATTATCCTACAACTGACTGGCTTCAGGCTCAATCCTTCATGGAAAGATCCCATGGCAGGGAACCTATTTGCCAATCCCTGCCTACACCCCCAACCAGAAAAGGTTTACACAGGAGAGCCAGAGGATGCTGAATGTCTAGGTTCCTCTTGCAGAGGAAACTCCTTCATAATTAACATGAGATGAGATTTGGGGTGAGATTCAATGGTCCCAAATGAGGGGGGAAAGAAGAAAAAAATAAATAAATAAAAGAGAAAATAACTCATAGCCCTGCAACAGTAAGAGAGGGAGGGAGGAGATCTGCTCGCTGTGTGTTTGTCTTAGCCAGATCCAGAGAGCCTTCAGCTCCAAGAGAGGGATTGCCAGGTGACAAAAAGGGATTGCCAGGTGACAAAAAGGGGGATTGCCACGTGACAAAGAGGGGTTGCCCAGGTGACAAAGAAATGTTGCCAGGTGACAAAGAAGGGTTGCCAGGTGACAAAGAGGGGGTGCCCAGGTGACAAAGAAAGGTTGCCCAGGTGACAAAGAAAGGAGTTGCCCAGGTGACAGAGGGGTTGCCCAGGTGACAAAGAGGGATTGCCAGGTGACAAAGAGGGATTCCCCAGGTGACAAAAAGAGGGGTTGCCCAGCTGACAAGAGGGGTTGCCCAGGTGACAAAGAAAGATGTTGCCCAGCTGACAGTGCTCACTCATCTGACGGATTCTCGCGCTCCCTGACCTGGCGGCGCATTTCTTGCCCCTTGTGCCACCTCAAACCCGCCCTGCCCACCCTGCTGTGCCGTGATTTATACCCACCAGTGTGCTTTCTGCTGTGCATCTGCAAGTGGGACAGCTTGAAGTATCTCTTGTTGCAGCCAGGGTAGGCGCACATGAAGGGACGCTTCTCGTTCGTCTCGCTCGCCGAGCGCACGATGGTGGGAGCCACGCCGGGCACGCGCCGGACGTCCTGCGGGACACAGACCTGCTGAGGCCACCTGCGTGTCCTCAGCTCTGACTTCACACACCCAGGTCACTCAGCACCTCCCCAGGACAAAGAGATGCTTGGATAGATTCATGTTGGAAACAGGAAATTTTGCTTCATTCTACGTCAGCCACCTTAGTGTGCCTTGACTGGTTCTTTGCAGAGTGTTAAAGTTATCTGAAGGTGGAGCACAGTGAGCTCTGCCCAGTGAATTCTCTCACCAGAGTTGGTATGAGAGATTGGATGGCACACTCTGACATCATGTATAACCACACAATCCTGGCACAGCTTCTATTGCCACAGAAAATAGTTTTAAGTTTATACCAGGGTGAAAGAGCATGAGCCAGAGGAGTATTGTCCTTTTAATTTTAGATACTCATTTAAAGCTAAAGGACAAGGAAATGGATGTCTTGGATTAACACAAACTGATTAACAACAAAACAAAAACAACTGTCTAGGTGGAGCTGGTGAATAGTTCAGCCTTAATGCATTTTGGCCACTGTCACAATGTTCCATCAAAGATGATCTCCTCCTTCTGGGATAATTAACTTCCTTAAACAATGTCAACCATTTACTTTTATTCACCCAAAAAAATCTAGCTCAGGAGCCTGTTTCTGAGAGCTTGCCACTGAATAATGACTTGCTAAACTACACAGAAGAGGAAAAGGAGAAAAGATGCTATCTAAAAACACAGATGTAGGTTGACAACACAGAGCAACACAGAAGAGACAGATACTCTGTAATGACTTTGCCATCAGTTTTAACAAGGCATATCTTTTACAGGGGTATTTAATAATGATATGACTGTCTCAGAAAGGGAGGAAATGAACTCCCATGAATTGTAAGTTCCTCCCAGATATTCACTAATTACTTAGTTATTAGGAAACAATCACATATTTCGTTTTAAGGAAATACATTTGAATTAGTAAAGTTTCAGAAACACGCAAAAGCAAAATGTAATCTGACACTTTCATATATGTAGTTATTAGATATAGTGCTATAGATATAGATTAGATATGTGGTTATATTAGATATAACCACAGAGGCTTCACATGGCCAGGGTGACTGGGGCTGGAAGCTGGATCATTCATTTTGGACCATCCTGGGAAACTGGTAAGGTAAGTAAGCACAGAATGGAATAGTGCCTTGCAGATGTATTTCAGAAGAAGAGATGAGCAATTTTAAATGACTGTGTCAGAAAGAAATCTTATGTTAGAGAGCAATGGCTTCAGTGAGGTCAGGACACTTACATAAAACATCTCCTGACAACGTGGGGAAGCCACAAATCAAGGATGGGTTTACAAACACCAGTGCAGTAACGAGTGAACACTATAAACAGGCAGCAGTTTTGCTTCCCTGTGAAGAATGCCCCACCATACTCACTTGTATGCCTCTGAAGACCCCGTGGGTGTGTATTCTGTACTGGGCCCCACAGCTGTACAACATGGGAGTGCTGTGGTTCTCATTTTCATATCCTGCTGTGTGTCTGTAAGTAAAGAGAGGAATAACCAAAAATTTACAGATTTTTCAGTACTCAGCTCCACGTGAGAAGTTGCTTTCCTTAAGTCAGTGGTAACATATGCAGAGTTTGCTTTTACAGCCATGATATCCAAGCTCAAGTGAAATTCACCAAAGGAAACCTGCTCTGCCTTCATTCACGTGGATCTGCTCCCCCTGGCACAGTGCACTGACTCCATACATACATCTAATAGCATCCATTAAGGTGTCCAGGGGAAAAAGAAAAAACAACAAAAAAAAAAAGAAATTATCATTATTTGAACTCTGATGTATTTCCACAAAGATTCTAGGTAAGAGGGAAAAATTCACATAGCAGCACAACAGTGTCATGTGCACATGTTCACATTATTTATCAGTCAAACGTGGGGCTGGCTATTGCTAATATCTTTTGGAATGAGCAAAATGCCTCAAGTTTCACATTAAGTGCAGTGGATTTTTGTCAGCACCTCATGACTCAGATATTACCCGATACTACCAAGCAAGTGATGACATTTATAAGAATAGCAGTCATGTACTCATAAACAGAGATTACAAATCAGTGTCTAAACTATTTATCCCATGTATCAGCTTGCAGGATACACTACAGATTAACCCTTTATAAAAATAAAATTGGAAAAAAATCTAAAAAAACAAAACAGCCTATCCCTACGAGGTAAAAATTTTCATAATAAGTTTAAGAATTTGCAAATTTTGGTGTGTTTTGGGGTGGCCACAGCCATTTGTTTTGTCTAATTATGTTCTTCAAAATTCTACGTTCTACTGTCCTGAATGTTGGAACACTGCTGTGTCTCCTGTTTGCAGCCTTCCTAATGTCAGAACCACATAAATACATTTTAGGTTTAATTTTTGAACGAGTATGTTACATTATCACTTGTAGAAGTACACATTGGCAATGGCAAGTGTACATGTTTTGCACAGCACCAGGAATTAGAAAGCCCAGAACAAAACCCCAGGGCACACGGCTAGGGACAAAGATGGATATGGAGGATGTTATCCCAGCCTTTGCCAAATGCTTGCAATAGCAATTTGAAAGGGTCCCAGAGGTCCAGACTCTCATTTCACTGGTCCTTCCTTTCCCTTCACTCAAAGTTCATGTGCAGAGTAGAATTACAAGGAAGTTTTAGACCTCTTAAGTGATTTGCAGAGCAGGCAGCGGAGCTGGAATGCAGGACGTGTCCAAGGGGTTTGTGAGCCTGGCTGCAGAGGAGGGGAGCAGTGCCTGGGAGCAGCTCTGCCTGCCCAGGGTGGGCTGCACTCCTCACCACTGGCACGACTGGCAGGCTGCTCCCTGGCAGAGCTGCTCTCTGAGCTCAGCTCTTCCACTGCTCTGCTCTGCTGATTTCCTATCCTGGCTCCACCTGCCCGTTCAAATCAAAGGCCACGTCTTTTGGAAAGGCATGCTCTGCTTTTTGTAAATTTAATTCAGTTTTAAGGTGATCATAATGAAACAAGTTACGGGGGGGTGACAAGAAAGGATCTCTATTCTGTAGTAACACAGTATTATTACATTAATACAGTAATAGTAGCAGTAAAATAGTATAGTAGTAACAGTATAGTAATACTATAATAATAATAATACAGTATTATTACATGTAGTACATGTAATAATAGATAAAGAAGATACCATTAGCTGATTTAAATGGATTAAACTTTGCCGTATATATGCACCATGTCCAAATAAATGGGGTCTCCTCTCTGCCCAGAGCCCACAAGTGGCCTTTTGCAGCCTAATTCAAGTAACGAATTACCATTTGCTATCACCACTTGATCAGCACAGATTCCCCACCAACATCAAATTTTCCTCTCTGTTTAAAGGCAGCAAGTCTGTACACATCAATTTTTTTTTCATTAAAAAAAAAAAAAAAAAAAAAAAAAAAAAAAAAAAGCTGGGGAGAGGGGTATTGGGTGATTGTTGGGTGGTGATACCCAAGTTGATCACAAATTCCACAGAGCATTTTGAAGCTGGAATGGAATGGAATGGAATGGAATGGAATGGGATGGAATGGGAACCACCATTGATAAGGAGGAAGTTCTGCAGCAGAAGCTGTTGCTGACCTGCAGCACAGCAGTAAATCAAGGGTAAATGTGAACTTCAGCACCGGTCACCCCGAGTGTAACCTCCCCTTCACGCCTGTCCTAACAACCTTAAACACCAAATAAACAACAGGCACAAAGGCTGATAAGAATTCCCAGGACAGAAACTGTGTAAGAAGAAGCAGGAATACGTAATAAAATCTTACACCATAAAACACAACCCCACTTTCCCTCCAAATTCTCATGGTTTTCATTTTTCAGTGATAACCTCTTTTGTAAGGACCAGCCAGTTCTGAAATAATTCCTCCCAGAAATAAGAGGCAGAACAAAGACCCTGTCTGTGCCCTAGGGAATGAATGAGAGGTATCCTCCAGGTGATCTCCATCTCAGTTTTTATTGCACAGTTGGGAAGCCTTCCTCAACCACCAGCCTTTTACATTTCCTCCCCTTATTTCTAGTTATACCTCACGAAAACTGCACATACAATAATCCATGAAGATTAAAACCTGCTTTCTGAGCCCCCTGACCCATGATACACTAAGTCCTTAACCAGCTCCCCAGGAGAGATGCTTCAATAACCAGGAGGCCTATTTCCCATTTTACATTGGGCACATTTCCATCAGCATTGGCTGGCACTCAGCATGGCCATATGGCTGCTGACAGCAAAATGGATCATGAGAGATTTCTTGGTTAAAACACTGTTTATTCATTATGGAGTGCTGTGGAATAATCTGACCTTTGGGGAGGGTGGAAATCAACAGGTGGATATTCCTTCCAGTCAGTGGGAAACTGGAGCACTGAAGGAGGAGCTTTCACAAACTGTCCCTGCACTGCTGCTCTCTTGAAGCTCAGCCTTCACTCTGCATCCTCATGGGGAAATAGAGTTCTTTCCCTTCCAGCCTCTGCAGTCCATGCTTTAGCCATGATTTATGCCACAAAGGCATCACACCAGGCACAGTTGGCTTGTTTCATATGGCTGCAGTTTATATACTACAATAAAGGCAGGGACAGAAGAACAGATACAAATCTAGATCCATTATTAAACTCAAACACCTGCTTCATTGCATGCAAGAGATAATGCAATGCCACATACATGAGGAATACAAGTGGCTGGTGAATTTACACCTGCAGTACATTAACTAAATGGAAATCTCCAGAGGGTAGCACAGTCCTTAACTTTCATCTTTTCTAGTCAGGCACTCTGTGTTAAAGTAAGCAAAGAGACAATGCCTTATAAGCTCAGCTGAATTAACCAAAGGAAAAAAAAAAAAAAAAACAAACAGAAAAATCCCCAGTAAGGTCCAGAGTCACACCAAGGAGAGACACTGGACTGACCCCTCCACAGGTCCTAAAAGGACTCAAAACTAAGCAGGACCAGATGCAGCCGAACTGCCCTGCCAGGATCCGACACAAATCTTTCTTTGAGCAAGGACTGAAAGATTTGGCCTCACAGTCCAGCTCTGCCATTATTTGTAAATATACAACTCCCTTTAACTTCAATCAGAATTGCTCAAAGCCAGAAATGGACTGTAAACATTTAGAGTTTGGGTTAGTTGGTGAAAAAAGGACTCAGTGTATTTTGCTCTTTGGATCTAGACAGCCAGAGCTGGAAACACAGCCATAAAATGTAATTCTAGATAACTGGGAAACAAAGGCTGATACTTACAAAGGAAGAGCTCTGTGCTGTGGAGTATTTAGAAGCACTTGCATTTACCATTAGCCCAGCAAATCCTTAACACTCGCAGAGTAGCTCTTTTAAAATGATTAATCTCGGAGTTGTACAGATTGTACAGAGATTAATAAAAATGAAGGGTTTACAGATGAGAATGTGTGATGAAAAACAGAGCAGCTTTAGAGAGTTGTATCAATCTAAGTGGTTATAAAAAAAAACCTCATAAAAGATGACATTCTAATCTGAATATTTCAAAAAAATAATCAAGCTGCAATTTCTCTCTCACACCATTTTTACTTTGTAAAACTAAAATTGCCTGTCTAATGTATAAAGCAGCTACAACTTAATCTGAAGAGTTAAGCTTTTTATTATTATTTCATAAACCAAAAAAGGGAAGCTTTAGGACACACTGAGGAGAGCTAGAAAATTTCAGATGAAACTTGAATACACATTGATTCATGAGATTCAGACTTGGAAGAATAAAAAAAGCCAGAAAGCAAGATTACATAAAACAGGCACCACATTAAGCTTCAATTTAATTGTGTTTCACTGCAGGAACAGGAATTTTAGGGTTTAGAAACAGAGCCAAAAATGAGGCAAAGTGAGGGTGTGGGCTAGTCCCGTTGATAACAGAACATAAAGGAAGAGAAGTAGAGTTAATTCCCTCTGCTAAAATATTTACCATCCTAGCACCCTGGGAAAAATATGTATGGAGACAGAAAAAGATCCTGATTAGTTATATAGAATATCCTGTTTCTGCCTGGCTTTTGTCTCATACTATTATGGAGGGTGGAGTATGAAGCTGCATTTTTATCTGCCCTTTCCAAGGCAAAGGAATATTAAAAAATGCAGTTTCACAGATCTGAGCCCTTCTGCCATCCTCAATGGGAGAATCAGCTGCCTAATGAAAGGAAGGCTCTAAATTTTCAGGGGATCTTTGTGTTTCTGACTTCAACAGTGTTTCTTTGGTTTGGGATTTTTTACCATAGACCTGAGTGGAATCAGGATTTCACCAAACCCTTCCCTTCAGAACAAGACCTATGGGAAAGGGTAAATTCCATATTAGAGACTGGAGGTTATTGCCCCATTTCCAGCTCCTCTTGATTGCAGAACTAAACCCAAGTCTCACACCTCCAAATTTTACTAATTAATACCACCAAAGCTAAACAGAAAAGACTTTACAAACCACTCCTAAACAAGAAAGGTTTTCCCTGCCTTGCTTAAGATGTGGTTTTAATAGTGTTCTATAGAGATTATACCTAATATTCCTTACAGTGAGCCTGAGAAAACAGCAATCAATACCAATTTCCATGGAACATGTTGGGAGTTTAACATCCAAGCAAAACCAAAAGAGGAAAACCAAAACGTTGTCTGGTTCTATGCCTGACTTCAGATTACTGTTAGAAATATGGATCAAAGCTTTTCACTCAAGCAGCTGAAGAGAAAATTACATTGAGTCTTGCTGTTGGGAATGTAGCTACAATTCTTGCCTTCCATGTTGTATCACTTCCTGCTTGGTATCAGTTATTTCTATGTCACTTTTACACTTAACTCATCAAAATATAAAGGAGGGGTTTATAGCCCTGAGATCTTCTTCTATAACTGCTATGGAAGGAAGCAGTGCTTTTCATATTGGACAAATTAAAAAGCAACACAAAAATATGAAGGAGAAACCAATGGCAAAAGTGTCCACTAATGCGGAACATTAATTTTGAGATGTCTGGGACCCACTGACTTTCCTGCAGCAGAATAAATCTGATCCCAGCAGCTCCAAACAAAATACCACAAACGAGGAACAAATCATCAGCAAACAGCCTGAGGAGATAAAATCCAGTCCCACAGTGAGGTTCACTGCCTTAACAACGCAGCTTTCCTTTCAGATTCTAGAAGCTGCCAGTTTGTGAGACAGCTTGCAGACAAGCCAGCCCTCCCTCTGGTCCACCCAGAGTTCAGAAGGTGACAGAGGGATGCCGGGACAAACAAGAAACACAACTAACACACACAAGCTCACAAAGCACTCCTCTTCCCTCACGTGAGTTGTAAGAACTTGAGCTCAATCAGAGCACAATCAATTTGGAATTCAGGACCCAAGTGAAAATCTGAAATGCAGATTCAGGTCACTTGGACTGTATGGTAGCAGTAGTGGGTTGTCTTCTTCTCGAGGGGCAGCTCTTGGCAGAAGGAAGGTCATCTTGGGCTGTCAGACATCTACTTTTCTAGTAGAAACCCCCAGAACCCATGGCTGCAGCCTTTTCTATCTGCTTCCCTTTTGGCACCACTCTCCCCTTCCCCTGCCAGTCCGTCATGGTGCTGTACTCTGGCAGAAGACAACATCTCAGCTCACTTCAGATGTGTCTCTTCACCATCCAGCAATGGCTGGCCAGGATCTCTGTCCCACAGCTTTTACTGCCCACCTCTGCCTTTCTCTAGGCTGTGCCTTCCATGAACTCATGTTTCTTACCCCTACTGAAAGCACTCAGGCCAAACTCCACTGGTACACAGAAACTTCTTGCTCTCAGTTCCAACATGCAATATTAAAATATCCACGAATGAAAAAGCATTCAGGAAAAATAGTCTTCCATGGCCTTAAAGCCACAGGCTGAAGCAGGCTCTGAGCAGATAAAATCATTCAAGAGTTCAGATGCCAGGCTCCTGCTGCTGCTGCTGCTGACACACAAGTTCATAAGATTGCAACCCAATGGGAATGATTTTCACAATCAGCTTTGGCCACCTGACAGTATTCTTTGCCCAATTTCAAACTTTGAATCTGGGCTGAGGGGATTCTGGAGCTGATCACTCAAACATTGGCTCTTCACAAGAGCTAGAACCAGGATGCTCTCAGATAAACTGCTAGACAACTTCAGCACAGAAACTGCCAACTAACTCTGCCTAAACTGCTCTGCAAAAGCTTCATTCCAGTCTGTTAAACTTCTGCTGAACAGGAACCCAGAAAAGCAAGCTACTGACCTGGTCTGCTGTCAAGCATAAAGTGTGTGACCCATAAGCTTTATATAACAGTAGAGTTCTCTAACTATTTGCAGAACTTACTGGCAACATTTTCTTCCTTCTTAGAATGTGCAAACTCTCACTGAAGCCAGAAAGAAGTGCTGGGGAGAACTGAAGGCAAGGAGCTAAACAGGACTGTCATCGTTGGACAGAATCTAGAAGCTCCATATTTCAACAGGAAGATTGACTCCAAAATTCTTAAATTACAACTACGAGATTGAGAAAAGCATCTGAAACACTAAACGCCTGGGAATCACTTATGAACAGTTCATATATTTTAAAGATGTAAATCTTGGGAAGAATACCTTATGTTCATGGCAACTGAGATTGGAGGTACTGTGTATTGTAACTCTCAGCCAGAAAAGACAGATAACTATTTTGGCTCATATTACCAGTGATGAGGCTATGTCTAGCACTGATTTTCCACAGATTCTACAATCTTGGCCTATACCAAAACTTTCAGCTTTGTTTTACCATAGATCATTCATCTTGATTCTTTCCCCCTTTTCATGCATCCTAGGTCACATACTTTACACTGCTAACAGTCTGACTCCTGGACAAGTAAGAAGCCATTTATTTTGTTCAGTACTCCTTTAATATTTCTATTGTGACTTTTTTTTTTTTTCCACTGAGTTCCCAAAGAATAACCTCTTCCTTGCTTTAATAACTTGGACCTCAGTCAAGGTTGATGAGTTTCTCCATTTTGCAGGATATTTTCTTGAGAAGAGACAAAACAGTGTCTAATATTGCAATGACTGATCTTTAAGGGGTACAGTTTCAAGAGGAAATAAAAAAGACTTATGAAAGAAAAGTAGGAAATAACCTTTAAAAAGAGGGGATGGGCAGCAAAGACAGTGAACTGCACACAACTGTAGGATTTTGGGATCTTCTCTGACCAAAAAAAAACCTCTTTGATGGATTTCTTCAGGCTCAGTTCCCTTGTTCACTTCAATACAGATAGTTTACTACACTACTCCCTCTAACCTTCAAACACCATTGGTTTATGAGCTACAAGGAGACCCATAATATTTTTTTCTTTATCGCAGTACAGCAGTGTACACAAAGTCCATCTTGAACAAGATTTTCACATCTATGGACAACTGCATGAAAGCACAGATCTGTGCAGGCTTTTATCAGCCTCTCCTGCTGTTCCCTTGAGACTGCACACGCTTGGACACTGAGAACATCCCAAGGCTGGCAATACCTGCCTTCAGTGGGAGAGTTCTCAGAGTCAGTTATCTCCCCAGAGCAGTGAATTATCTTCTCTGAGCAGAGTGGCTTTCCCTTGGCTAAGATCAAAAAGTGGCTCTGCCGCTCACGGCAGCCACTGCGCTTGCACCGGGGTGAGAATGGACAGCGCTCCAGCCCCGGCCCAGCCCCGGCAGACCCGGGCAGGCAGCGGGCACGGTGGGTGCGGAGGTGCAGGCGGCGGCCCCAGAGCTCTGCCCGCCCTGCCGCGGCCGCCACCCCGGCGGGGCCCCGCGGCGCCTCGGAGCCTTCCTGCCCGGGCGGCCGCAGGAAGCCCGCGGGGGAGGCGGGCCGGAGCCTCTTCCCGGCAGGTGGGAGGGCGACAATGGCCGGGAGGAAGGAAGCCGGGAGGCGGCCGGGCCGGGACACAGGACGCGGGGCCTGGCGAAGGCAGGGAAAGGGAAGAGGGATGGTAGGAAGGGGCGGCAGCTCAAGGAGCAAAGCGAGAAGTGGCCGCGGCTGCCCCTGCGGGAGGGGCCCGGGCACCGGGAGCGGGCGCAGCCCAGCCCTGCCCTGCCTTGCCCCGCCCGGTGCCACCGGGGCCCCGACACACCCAGCACGGCCAGCTGGGGCAAGGATGGCCAGAAACACGGCGAGCTACAGCCAGGTGATGAGCCACCCTCAGGACAAGACAGCATTTTTTTTTCGTGCAAGTGACCGGATTCAAAAATCCAAGATAAAGTTAGCTCAGTAATGCAGCTTCACTAGGGCAGCAGGTTAGAAGAGAACAAAGCTCCTTACCCTTTCAGTGTGGATCCCAAGTTCATTTGATTCCATGTCATGCATTCAAGCTGTGAGGTCATCTGGTATAAATTGTCACTGTTGTGAAAAGATGTAGGGTTAGGACTAAAATTGCAGCTATTAAATAAAAACAAAAAAAATCAGAATGTCAACGATTTCTTTGTTATTTGTTTTAAATATATAACAGTAGAAAGTGAATTTATTTTATATAATCCCTTTTTTCGATGCATTACGAATTTTTAAAAATAAAAGGAAATAAAAGGGAATCTGTGGGTCGAAAAGACACTGAATCTGCAAACCTGACGAGTTGTAAAGAGCTGGAAATAGAAACATAAAGCTTTTTCCTTCCCGAAAAATAATATCCGATATTGATACGTTGAAACGAATGAAACGAATATAAGCAGCGCAAAGGGGTAACGCAAAGGATTATTTGTTTTAAAAAGTCAAATCTGTTAACTGTTTTAACCAGGAGTGTGAGAGACCACGTGGGTAATGGAGTGAAACAGCTATCGTGACTCGTGATGGATGTTGCTACACAGAGGGGCTTGACAAGCAGGAGAAAAATGGAGTGGCTGGGCGATAAGCGGAGCTCACGGCTGGAGCAGGCTCTCTCCCCGCCGCTACACACCGCGGGCAGCCCGGCTGCAGCCGCGGCTTCCCCCGCTCCGCTCGGGGCAGCGGGCAGCGCCGAGGGGCGGCAGGCGGCCACGGAGCCCCGGCAGCGCTCCCCCGGCAGGACAGGTCCCCGCGGGGCCGAGGAGGTGCCGCGGCCCGGGCAGGCTCCCCCGGGACGGGCTCTCCCCGCAGAGCAGCTCCCGGCGAGCCCCCGGCCCCTCCGGCGGGCGGTGTGATGGATGCCGGGCACCGCCGCTCACAATAAACGCAAGTCTCCTCGCTGATTAATTACACCTAAATTCGCTGGATTTACGCGGTGAATTTCTATCATTTTGTTATTAGGAGACGGCATTTTTTCTTTTTCTTTTTTTTTTTTTCTCGTTTTTTGTTTTTTTTTTTTTCACTTCGTGGCAGGTAGAAGCGACCTAAAAAAGCCAGAATCCAGTGGGAAGCTTTTGCATATAAAAACATATTAAGTGACTTCAATCTCGAAGTATGCGTAATATCATTTGTCAGTATCACTGGACGCTATTATTCATTAGTGTGTCTGAAGTGCTATTATGCTACTACAATGTCCTGCATATCAGCTCAGGAATTGTTAAACTCTCCTGCAGTTTCCCCATTTGCAATAGCAGTCCGTGCTGGCCTGTGCCAACTACGTTTTGCAATTCCACGAATTCTTCCTGTAATGCTGCTGTAATTAATTCCTCCAGGACTCTGATTTTTATTAGAAGTGCCCGCCCGATGCATTTACAGCAGGAGATTTCCCTTTAACTTTCTTTCGCTTGACAGTTCATTTATAAGAGCCTCCCCCACAATATCCACTTTTTCCCCCTCCTTTGCTTTTTCATAAAGCAATACACTTATTCATCTTGTCACAGCCCGCAGCCACTGTATTCCGTGCCGCCCTTGGGTGACGGTGTCCGAGACGAGGCGCCCCGGGAGCCGCCCGGTGCCCGCGCCCCGCCGCCGCCGCCGCTCTCCCGGTGCCCGCCCGGCCCAACGCGCTCCCCGCGCCCCGCTCCCGGCTCTGCAGCGCCGGCCGCGGCTCCCGGCGGAGCTCGGGCTGGCTTCAGCCTCCGAAGGGAGCCTGGAGTGGCTGCGGGCAGGTCGTGGGATGCGCCGGGAGCAGAGCTCCGCTATCTGCGCTAAACCCCGCTTTGTCTGCCGCGTTCGGTGTCTCCTGAGCGGGGAGAGACCCTCAGCCCTCGTCCCCCCTGCTCCTCCCGCTGCGGCGGGCTGAGTGTGGGGGGAGCAGGTGCCCGGCTCGGCCCGGACCCCACGCCAGCCCGGGCGGCGCAGGAGCCGCGCTCCGGACTCTCGGCACGGCCCGGGTGAGGCGCACCCGCGCACGGCGGTGTCCACGGAGCGGCACCCGCACCCCCGCCCGCGGGCTGCGGGGGGGTCTGAGCCACCTCTGCTGCCGGCAGCGGCCAAGGGGAGACATTTCTATGCTGAGCCACGGAGCTGCGAGGTTCTCATCCCGAAAAAGCCGGAATTGCCGGAGCTTTGGCTAAATCGGCCCTGGCGGGAGGCAGGTGGGCACCGCCGGGCTTCGTGCCCCTAAGCCCGGAGAGAAGAACGGCCCGTCCGGTCGCTGCTTGCCCGGGGGCCATCGGGCTCGGATTAAACATCTCAGATCTGACATGTGACAGAGAACGGGACGCCCTAACGCCATTTACGCCTCGCCGTGGTTTATTATTGACGGTACCGTGAGATGATCTCACGGAACCAAGAGAGCTCCACTCAAAATCTCAGCTTTGGATGGGATTTGAATGAGGAGGAGGAAAGCGAGGTCTCCAGGGATTTGCCTGTGCTGATTCCAATCTGAATCCTTGGCCCTTCGAGCGGCCACAAAGAAGACACTAAAAATAACTTATTTTCATTACAAAGATGCTTTTAAAGAGAAACGAGAGGAAGGGGGGGAACATTTCTACAACGGGGATTAATGTAAGTTGGAGTGGAATAAAAGGAAGTCAACGCTGAGCAAAAAGGGAACTTAAAAGGAAACCAGTAGTAGATCATATAGAGTTTGTTTTGGCCTGCACTGCAGTATTACCGAGTTCTTGACCTCTGCACAGAAAGAGCTATAATCTGAACCGAGACTCCTCCACTTTTAAAGTCTTTGCAAGTGTGACTCACAGTAAATTTTCAACATCGAGCATGTTTACTACACTAAACAGCGCGAGGTAGAAAAGTTCACATCACCGTTTTAATGGACCCACAAACGCACGCTTCTTGCGATCTGCGCGGGTTTGTCACCCGTGTCCGGCTACCAGCCACAGCCCCTCGCGGGGCTCCTTGGCAGCGCAGCGGGCCGGGCCATAAACAGAGAGCAAGCAGTGGCCGGGGCGAGAGATTCTAGAGACCGTTTTGCTTCCAGCCTAAGAATTACGATCGTTCAACCATTTCTTTCTTCCCGACTTTGCCGCGGTACGGGAGAGAGGGCGAGGCGCTTGCGCCCCGAGTGTCTCCGCACCGCAGACGGGCTGGACCCTCCTGCCCACGCCCGCCTGCGACCCTGCCCTGCTTCCCGCGGGTCGGGCTGGCGCCGCGCTCGGAAGGGTCGCTCGCACCCAGCTGGAGGGATGGCGATGAGGGGGAAGCGAGAGAATCAGGTGGAGGTGACTCCCTCTGCATCCTCCCCCTGTGCTCTCTCCCTTCACCTCCGCCCGCCGAAGCATCACCCCTCGGGTCCTGCTGGACGCGGCTGATCCAAAATTGGGATGGCCGTGCGTGCGAGGCGCTGCAAGGCGGAGCGGACCCGCAGCCCTGGCTGGGATTAGTGGTTGAGAGACCGCAAACCAGCGCTGCTCGGTACCGGGAGACGCAGAGAGGAGGCGGTGCAAGGAAACACCGGCCGCCGCATCCCGCCGGGGGCAGAGGCAACACCCCCTCCCGTTCCCCACCTCGTCTTCTCCGCTGCATCCCCCCCTCTCCGCTGCTGAAGGCGAACGGGAGCGCCTGTTGTCCCCAGGCAGTGTGGGGACCGACGAACCCCCCATTCCGGGGCTGAGCACCATCCCGCGGGCGCTCTCGGGCATGGGCGCCAGCCCCGGAGCTCGGATGCGGCGACCGAGCAATCGCTTGACAAAGCAGTGCTGTCGAACTTGACCTGAACTGCGAAAAGCAAAAGAAATCTTCAAGAAGGAGGTGCGGAATAAATACGGTCTTGAAAAAAACTAAAAATATCACGATTCTGCCAAATCAAGATAAAAGGTTAAGGGCAGGGCGGTCGTTTTCAGGGCGTTGGCGAGGTGGGAAAGGAGTCCCGCCCGTTTCTGTACCGCAACGGTTCGTCCGCTTTCCCGGCCACATTTTCCAGGCGGTTTTGAACGTGTTCAATAAGGGACAAGGAGAGGCCGCGCCGAGCTCAGCCACCTGTGCGGGCCCCGCTGCGGGAGCAGGATTGTACAGCTGGGGCTGCCCTCGACGTGGAGCAAGCGCTGCTGCCTCGCTTACACCCCCACACATCAGTATTGGCTCCTGAGAGGTTTAAAGGCTTAAATCCTTATCTTACTGGAGTAAGCAGTAAACCTCCCAGCGAGCAGGGCAGGATCAAGGCTGAGGTCGGGAGGAAATGTGTCCCCGCGGCGCAGCGCTGCCCACCCGCGCCGGGTGCGGGTCCCCAAGCGCAGGGCGGGGGTGGCCGCGTTAGGGAGGCTCAGCCTCCCTGTGCTCAGCCCTGCCGCCGCGGAGGCACATGGAAGAGAGAGCTCTCGACGCTATCAGCGTTCTCCTATCGGATTCACACCTGCAGGCGCTGCCGCTTCCAGCAGCGGGGCGAGGGCGAGCCCCGGGGCCCGCGGGGACAGGGGAAGGAGGAGGCTGCCCGCGGCCGCTCGGAGCTGCCCTCCCCAAGCCTCCTCCAAACCATATTTATAGATTTCCCTGCGCGGCGAGCAATCTCTGTCACTTCAGCGCAGGAGTTCGCCCCGCCAATTATTCTGCAAGCTAATCTCTCTGGATAGGCTTCTTTCCTTCCTTCATTACCTCATTCCCTCCTTCCCTTGACGTCAACTCACGTTCATTAGAGAAGTGACTTCTGGAAGTGACAGAATTTTGTTGTCTCACGTCCAGTGTCGATTAATCTGAGATGATATAACCGGCCTACAAGAGGAGCCGCTTGCGGCTTCCTTCGCAGAGGGGCATTGTTTTGTGTGCGAGAGTTACTTAGCAACTCCAAGATACGGGACTGGCTCCAAGTTCACAAAAAGTTGAGGAATAAATTTTGGGGAACTTCTTTCACTCACTAAACACGTTGTAAAACTCCAAGGCCCAGCCCCCATGTCGAGCCGAAAAAATAAAAACCAACCGGGAAGCCGCGCTTGCCACGGGTCCGTCTGTTGGCAGAGAGACCTCGTTGCTTGCAGCACAGTTCCAGACGCACCTTTCTCGCAGCAAGGAAATCCGATAGGTTTATTGCCCCGATTTCAATAAATAACCTCCCTGCGGGCCAGCTCCCATCACTCCTGGGAGCCATCGGAATGGCCCTTGGCCTGCAAGACGGAGCCCTCGGACGGAGCTGAGTTTTAATTGCCTGCACCACGCTCTGCCCGTGGCTGCTGCTCACCAGCCAGCATTCCCACACCTTCCCAGCCTCGGGCAAGAGCTCCAGGGCTGCGGGGACTCCTAGAGCCAGGGCCGGAGAGGAGGCGTGGGGCTCAGCCGGGCTGCCCCAAGTGCTTCCCCCGCTGCGGTTAAGGGCAAACCCCAAATTCATTGCACCGGCGGGCTACGGGACAGTCCCAAGGAGTGCGGGGAGCCCGGCTCTCGCTTCCCAGAGGCGGCCGGCACCTGCTGCGGGAGCGCGGCCCCGCCGGGATGCTCTGCCGGAGCCGAGCGGCGCCGCCGCCCCCGGCTCGGGCGGGCGAGCCGGCCGGGAAACCTCCGAGACACACAGCGGGGCCCGCGACGGAAAGCGCGGCAGCTTTTTTTCGTTTTGTGGGGGTTTAGGGATGTAGTTTTGTTTGGGGGCTTTTTGTTGGTTTCTATTTTTTTTTTTTTTTTTTGTTGGCTTTTTGCTTGTTTATTTGTTTGAGGGTTTGGGGCTGTTTTGCCTTGGTACGGTTTGTTTTTACGTGTGAATCTTCATTTTTTTTGGTTTGGTTTCTGGTGGGTTTTTTTGTTCGGTTAGTTGGGTTTGGGTTTTTTTTGTTTTTTTTTTTTTGTTTTTTTTTTTTTTTTGTTGGTGTTTTCTTTGGGGTTCTTTTTGAGAAGGGAAAGAATAAATCTGTTTCCTTGCATAAAGGAAAAGCTGTTCGAACGGCATGCGGGGGAGAGAGCAACCCAGACACAACCCGCGCACACGGAGGGCAGGCAGAGCTCCCTGCCGGCCGAGGTACCTGTTGTAGGGCGTCCGGAGGAGCAGCGCCTGGCTGCCCGTGCAGCTGTCGGTCGGCGTGTGACAGCCGTACACCGGGGGAGGCACCGAGTACTGCTGGTCCCCTGCGGAGAGAGCAGCACACAGTTAACCCTTGGGGCGAGCGGCCACCCCTCCGCTTGCCCTGCGCTGAACCGGGGGTCTCCAGGGCCCCGTCCTCCAGCATTAGGCAGCTCCAGGGTTTTTTTTCCAGGCCTAAGGGGGCTTGGGGCAGGTCCCTGCGGGTCGCCAGCCGCCCGACAGAGCCCTCCGGAGCGGCCCCCGCGCTCGGAGGCAGAAATTACCTAGGGAGGGCTGCTGGCTGATGGGATCCTCGTGTTTGAAGGAGTGGTTGCTGAACTGAGCGGCGGGGTGGGACGGCGTGTGGCCGTAGCTGGGGGTCCCGTCAAAGGCCACGGTGCTGTAACCTGGCGGAGAGAGCACAGCGGGGTTAGCGGGAGCCTCCGCCGGCGAGCCACGGGGACCCACGGCGGGCTCCGAACGCCTGGGGCAGCTCGCCGATCCTCCCGCGGGGCAGCTGCCCACGCTGGGGACAAGGACAGGGCCAGGCTCCCTGAGCCCCTCCGTCCCCTCTGCCACCGCCCCTCGGCACTCGCACTCTCTCTCCGCGGGGAGAGCCGTGCCGAGCCCGCGCCCAGGCGCGGAAAGTCGGAAATCTCGTTCGTGTTTAAAGAGAACAGATCGGCTTCGGTAATAAAAAGGATGTTTTCATTAATTGTTGCTCATATTAAAAGTGGAAGATTCCCATCTGCTCAGTGTACACATCTGGCGCTTCCAATTTAGAAGTTGCCCTTTAATCTTGCGCTCTTTTTATTTTGTTAAGAGCGGCTTTCTGAAGAGTCTGCAATAAAGAGGCGGAATATTACGTGCAAAAATAAAACTCCTCCTTTCAGCGAAAACTGCTCTCCAAAATAATAAACAGCCTATTTTGTTTCCTACACCGAGCAGATTCAGATGGAAAGAGACCACCTCTGCTGACCCCGGGCCGGCACAGAATCGTAAATCAGGTGCTTGGACACCAACTTTCATTAATGACTTGGAGCTGGCTAAACAACTTCAGCTAAAAAAGTAATTACAAAGTAATATTATCTCAGAGGCTTCTCGGCTCATCAGCATTTACTCCGAGAACCAAGCTCCTCCGAGAGTCACTCTCAAAAAAAAAACAAAACAAAAAAAAAAAAAAACAAAAAAAAAAAACAACCACCAAGCAAAACAAAAAACCCCAACCAAAAGAGAACAAAAAGTCCAACGCGGGCAGGGGAAAGAAACCGAAGGGACTATGAGCGCTTTCTCCCTCACACTCCTCTCCCTTAGCCCGCATATTCCCGCACGGGCATCCCTCATGAAGCCGCCTGGATGGGGTGTGTGGCTGGAGAGGGAGCACTCGGGGCTGTTTTCGGGCGCCTGTCTCAGCTCCCTTTCGGTGCCGGATGCTCGGCGCTGGGCAGGTCTCTGCTTCACCAACGACACGTAACCACAGGGGGTTTCAGAGAGAATAAAATGGAGAGGCAGCAAAGGGATTCGAGTGTTGCTTCTCTGCTTTATTCTTTCTGCTGACAGCCTGGGTCCAGAGACATCACAGGACTTTATTAACCTGCGCGGCGGAGCGGGAGAAACTGAGGGAGCCACAGGAGGAATGAAAATATCCCAGAAGACTTTAAAACCTCCGCCTTCGCGGCGATTTTAAGTCGGCCCTGAGACCGCGGGGCTGGCATGGGAGTGGGGCTGGCCAAGTGTCCCTCACATCCCCCTGACCCCAGGCGCAGAGCTCCTCTGGCCGGGGCGCGGGCAGCGCTGACAGGCCGGTACCTAGCGGGCTCCCATCCCACAGCTGTTTCTCGCTCCTTATCTCCTCCCTCAGCCCTCAGGGTAGAGGCTCAACCTTCAACTCCCTTTTCCCCGTTTCCCTCTGTCTCTTTTTTAGCTTTCAGAAAACACTGACACTTTCTACGTTACTTTTGGCCCGCCACAGAGTTTCGGTGACCTTCAAAACTCAGCTCGGAGCAGGACGAGGTTTTGGCCGCATTTTCCGGTGTTGCCTGACCCAAAGCTTCAGGAATGTGATAAGAAAGTTGAGTTCTGAACCGAGCTGCCGATAGTGAGGTCTCTTTAATTAGGGCGTTATCAGAACTAGGCCTGATTAAAATGTGCTGAAAATAATTGAAAGTTGTACATCTGGTGGAGAACGGGGCCCGCTGGAGGCATCCAGTTGTTGGAGGAGCCCAGCTGGATGAAAGAGGCAGGCAAACGAGAAGAGGGAAACTGGGCAGAGGTTTCAAAGCCTTAGCTTCCTACCCCCCACCCCATTCCATCCCAGACTTGGCAGAAATGTCATCACAGAGCCAAGGTAGCATCTTTCCCACGGTCGGAGAAACCTCTAAAAAAAAAAAAAAAAAACCAAACACTGCCGAATTTCTCCGAGCACGGGAGGGAGCCGGGACACGGCCCCTGCTCCCCATCACGGCGCCGTCCCCGGGCCCCTACCGGGCCGGGATGCTCGGGGCTGTGCGGAGGGCTCAGAGCGCGGCCCCGGCTCCCGGCCCGCACAGGTGCGGGTGTGCGCGGGTGTTTGCGGGTTTGTGCGGTGCCGCAGGCGGAGCACGGCCCGCGGGGCGCCGGGCACGAGGAGAGCCCAGCGTGGGCTCCGTGTTTTGGGGCGTTAAAGGCTCCATTTCTCCCCAGGTGGGTAAACCCGGACGTCAGGATGGAGCGGGTTCGCAGTTATTTTGTCCCTCGCTAACTCCCTCGCCCTTCTCTCCGCTTTCTCGTCGTTATTTCCGCCCAACGATTATGAATCCCTTCCAATGTCCAAAATCTTTTCAGATATCTTTCTAAAGTCCCTGACAGAGTCCCTGTCCCGGTGGGCTCCGGGCCACTCCCCTCGCGTCCCGCAGCTGGAGCTGGGACCCCGCGGGGCACGCAGCGGCTCCGGGGCCTCGGCAGGGCCGAGCACTCCCCAGCTCCAGGGATGCTGCCCATTTTCCCAGCCGGGATCTGCAGCACGGCCCAGGAGCCCCGCTCTGCAGTTTCCTACGTCGGAGCCCAGCGCCGGGCGAACCCCTGGGGCAGGGCCCGGGGATCGAAGGCAGCAGCGCGGTGACACCGGGACCGTGACCCGGCACTGCCCGGGGGAGCTCCGTGCTGAACAACTCCAGCCCCTCGCTGCAAACATCGCCCGGGCCTCGGGACACACCTCGGCGGCCAGCACCGAGCGCGTCCGCCGGCCTCGGCCTCTGCTCTGCCCTCGCCCTGCAGCCCGAATCGCCCGGGCCCTCCCGGGACCGTCTGTCCCAGCCCCTCTGGGGGTACGCGATTGCCCCCGCGGGGCACAGCAATCCCGAGCTGCGGGCTGGGTGCGGGGAACCCCATCCTAAAAGCAGAGACCCGGCACTCATCCCGCTCCGGCAGGGCCGCGCACGCTCCGCCGATCCCGGTGCCCCGAGCCGCGGCGCCCGGGCTGCCCGGCTCCCCTCGGTCCAATTCCCCCGGGCAGTGCGGGGCGAACCCCGGCACACCGCCACTCCGGGGCCAGCTGAAGGAGGGGGAACGAGACCCCAAAGGTCTCATGCAAGCTCTTCGCACGCTGGCCCCTTTTCCTTTCTTCCTCGCGTTCGCACACGCAAATGTTTATACTGCAGGCACTGGAAGAAAAAGGATTAGTGCTGACCCCGGTGCCACAGGCGGATGACCCATTGCCCGGCCGTTCAACCCTCGGCAGCCGCTCGGGGCGGTGCGAACACCGGGGACCGCGGGGAGTTACGGCGCAGCCGGTCCCGGCCACGGAGATGCGGACGAGAAAGGACGAGTCACCCCCGCTTGTGCATTCCAGCCCGGGAATACTCAGCCCTCCCGAGGCTAATTCGACAAGGGGCTCGAAAACACTAGTGTGCGGACAACGCTTTTCGGATTCAGGAGGAAGTTTGGAGGCTTACCCCCGCCAACACCCCATCACCCCCGAGATATGCAGAGGGAATTGTCTCGGGCCACGGGCCCCAGCTCCATTCCAGGACTTGTGCCGTCTCCGGCCCGAACAAACCTTTGCGAAGGCGAGAGGCTGCTTCAACCCGGGGAGGGGGCCGGGGGCTCCAGCCCGCCTGGCAGAGCCGCCCGCTGCATCCGCTGCCCCGCAGGAGGGGTGGGGGCCGAGCAACTCGTGGCTCCTAAAGCTCCCAGGAGCGACGTGGCTGCCGCACAGGGAGGGAAGGGAGGCACGGCAGGGCCGCCTCGCCTAACCCGGCTCGGCTGCCGCGGAGAAAGACCGGGCTTGGTGTTTACATCAGGCGCGGCCCTGCGGGGCTGAGCGGGCGCCTCCGGGGGCCGCCCCCCGAGCCCGGGGCGCCCGGCAGCGCGGCCCTTACCCTGGTTGCGGATGGCTTGCTGGCTCTCCAAGCAGTTGGGCAGGTAGGGCCCGTTGGGGAACATCCGAGCCTGGCCCGAGGGCGGCTGGCTGGGCGGCGGGGCGCCGAAGGGCCCGTAGCGGCAAGCCCCGGCCGTGCCCGTGAACTGGCCGGAGAAGTGGACGGTGAAGGCGCTCAGGTACTGCTCCTCGTGCGGGTCCGATCCGTTCCAGCTCGGCTCCTGCTTGATGAAGGAGTGCGGCCCCAGCGAGCCGTAGGAGGCCCCCGGGGGAAAGTCCAGGACGGGCGCCCACTGCGCCGCGCTGCTCACCGGCATGGCGCAGTTGCTGTTGCCCGGCAGGGAGGGCACGGAGGGCAGCAGCGCGTTGAGGTCTCGGACGTCGGAGCCCATCTGCTCGCAGACCTTCTGCCTGCCGCCGGGCAGCCAGTCTCCCCCAGGGCCGCACTTGTTCCAAGGCACCTGGCCCCTGCCCGCCAAGCCGGAGGCCGGCTCCGGCTGCAGGCACCAGGCCGGCGAGCTCAGCCCTTTGGGGGAAGTTTGCTCCGCGACGCAGCTCCCCGGGTCCAGCCCTGCGGGAGCCGGCAGCAGCGACAGGGAAAGGTTGTTCTCCAGGATCGCCTCCGGGCTTGCACCCGCTCGCAGCGCAGGGCGGGGTGCGGGGTGCGTGTGTCTGTGTGTCCGCGCGTGTGTCTGTCTGTCTGTACGAACGTCCGCCTGTCCGAGCTAGGGGGGCACGGCCGCCGCGCACGCCTCACCTCGGATGCCTGCTCACCCTCAACTTTGCAAAGCTCAAATAGAGGCGCTTGCAGGGGAGGAGGAGTCAGCCACGCTGATCCTCCATTCACACAACCTCCGCCGAGGGGCTGCCCACAGCCCGCTCCGCTGAACCCAGCCGGACCAGACGCGCGGGGGGAGGGGAGACACAGGAGAGCCGGGGATGGAGGGGGAGAGGTGGCTGTGGGAGAATATATCTCCCCTACACATCACTCCCACCCTTCTTCTGGTGCAAGCGCCACTAAATCTCACCCTAACGTTCCTCCGCTTTAGGAGAGACTTGCGGCACTGTTAGAGGGATCCAGGTGGCCAGTAAGTACGTGCTGGCTGACTTCCCCCGCCAGCTCCCTGCATGTCCGTGGGGATTCCCGAGGGCGGCGAGGTCGCAGGCCCCGGGGACCGCGCGGGGAAGCCTCCGCCCTTGCAGGAACCGGGGGAAGTGACACGACCCGGGCCGGGCGGACCCCGTTCCTCAGAGGGAAAAGTGTCTTTCCAGGTGCCTCTCCCGCTACGGGAGGAACCTGCGGGGTGCGAGCCGCCTGCCCGGGCCCCCCGCACCCCGGGCGCTCCCTGTCCCCGGGCTGGCCGGGCCGGGGTACCGAGGGCTCCGCCGGCCAGGGAAAGGATGGGTGCCCTTTGCAGGGGCCCGGGACCGGCGTGTGGCCGCCCCTAGCCCTGTCCCTCGAACCTGCCTGTGGGCGAGGGGAAGGAAGCAGCTGGGCGGGCGGGGGAGGACAGCAGTGAGTAACCTGCTTTTGAGAGATTCACCTGGCACTGCTCCCGGGAAGGCCCGGAGCCTCTCTTTCCTCTCCAGCCTCCTGGACAGCGGCTCCTCAGCGTCCATCCCGGGGGCGGCGGCCGGAGGGCCCCCGAGGGCACCCGACACGTTATCCCCGGACGCTCCTTCCTGGCAGGACACACGGCAGGGTTCGGTCGGCCGGGGCAGCGAGGGGTGCCGTGACTGTGGCGGTGCGGGAGCCCCCCAGGACCGAGCGCCCAGGCAGGGAGGCGGCGGTGCCTGCCGCGGGCAGGACGCGCTCCGTCCAAGGGCGAGGAGGGGAATCGTGCCGCCCTCCTGCAGAAGCACCGCTGAACAGTCACCCGGGGCTGCCGGCCCCGCCGCCTCTGGCTTCTCGCGGAGAACGCGGGGTGGTGGCACCGGCCCCGCCGCCCTGTCCCTTGTCACCGGCCGCTGTCACCCCCGCGGCACCGCAAACCGGGGTCACCCCCGCGGCGCCCAGCCCGCACCCTCGCCCTCCTGTGCGGCGACAGCAGCGACAGAAGCGCCGTGATGGCTCACCTGCCGCAGGACACGCCGAGCCCCTTGTCTTCCCGGGAACGGTGTACACCTCGGGATTTCCTATCCCTCGCGGCATCAAAGGTCACCGCAAGCACCGTCAACGTTGAAGAGGTGTTTTAAGATTAAAAGGGTAAATGCTACAACAAAAGAAATTAAAATAGGTCGTTATTGGAGCAGCCAAGTATAATTTCATTTTCTCTTAAAACTAATTAGTCATAAGGTCGGGTTTTGTTATTAGCGAAATTATTTTTTCACAAACTATTTCAGATAATTCCCTTTAAAAATCTCTCTTTTGGCGCATGCATCCATTTATTACAAAAATCCACGTGTAACGTAAGCGCGAAAGATTTCTTCATTATTTTTTGCTGATATTAAATATCCTCTTAAGTTTACAGGACGTGCCACCTCAGAGCCCACGGCAAACTAAGGCACCCTGGACGGCACTTGTGAACGCAGCCCGTGCGGGGAAATCGCGCTGACCTTGCTGCCCGCGGGCTCCCGCTCTGGCCGCACCGGGGCTCCCGCACACCGCGGTCACCCCCTGCCCGGGACCCGCGGGGAGCTGCGGGACCGGGACAGGGGCTGCTGCTGGCTTTGCTCGTTTCCGTGACGGACAGACACACGAGGTTTGGTTGAACTTGGTACCTTAAAGGTCTTTCACAACCTAAACGATTTTATGATTGATTTTGTGATTTCCGGCTCAGCGATGGACGCCGTACATATAGGAATGGAAGCCTTTGGCCAGCCTAAGCGGCGTATTTAATTTCCCATGAAAACTAAAGCTCTCTAGGAGCAAACAGAAAATGCCTTTCCCTTAGAGGGCTGTTTTTTAGAGCTAACACGGGAATTTTCTCTTTTCTTGAAATAACCTAGCTTGATGAATCATCTTGAAAGGGAAAAAAAATGTTTTCTTGATCGCTTAGCTCTGCATTACACCACCTGGAAGGAAGAACTGCCAAAGTCCTTCCAAACCTTCTCCCCTCGCACTTTCCAGCAGTGAAACAAGACGACCCCTTGGCCATTAGCGCATCCTTCCTCCCCGCGGCTGCTGGCGAGGCTGGGTGGATTCCGGAGCTGCCAGCTCAGCTCGGCTCGGCTCGGCTCGGCTCAGCTCAGCCCAGCCCTGTGCTGCCCCGGGCGCCGGCACCTGCGCCCTCCCGGGCCGCCTGAGCCGTGCGGGGCACGCAGCGCGCCCGCCGCCAACACGCCCGGGGGCGTCCCGGGGCAGGACAGCCCGGATCCCTCTGTCTCGGGATGGGCTGAGGACTTTTGGGAAACGGCCAGCGCCACTTTCCCCAGCTGTTCCCATCTAGCCAGCGCCAGGGAGAGACAAATGTCCCGCCACGCTGCAATCCTCCAGCACAGGCCGGGAGCGCTGGCAGCCGCTCCCCCCGGGGTCGCACGGCACGCCGAGAGGAGCTGCTCCCTCTCTGCAGGAGGCATTTGCCCGCCTCTTCCCCAGAGATCCCGACCCCGATTCCAGACAAACTCCGGCTTAAATCACTCCAGGTCTCGCACAGCGGGCGCCCGCGTCCGGGTTTAGGTGCGCAGTTGAAAGCGATGGCCGAGGAGATGGCAGCTCAGGGCCAGCATCTCCTTTGTCCATTTCCAGAGCCAGGCGGTCCGGAACGTTTTGCCCTGTCCCCTCCAAACACGACCTGATCCAAAACTCTGGCAGGCTTCATTGCCCGCTGTTCTACAGCTACGGTAATTCCTGATAACTCTCAGTCTTCGATTGTGCTCGAAGGCATACTCTGCAAGGCTAAACAATAGCTGGAGGAGGATTATTCTAGTGAGTCCCACTCGATCCCGAGAAAAACGGGCTCGGGAACCTGCTTTAACCTGAGCACCGCTGCCGCACCTCCCCAGCCAGCGTTTTTCCTCTGCCGTGTTAACCAATTAAAGGATCGGTAATTCTTACTAAACTCCTAAACGACGCCCCGGGGTTCTGCGTTGGGCGAGACTGACTGAAACAGAGCTCAATCCCCAGCCCTTCCCCTCCTGCCCACACCGCTCACAGCACGCAGGGGGATCTGTCTCCTTTCACTCAGGGAGCTGATCAGAGTTTGATCATTTAAGCGCCAAGAGCAGCAGAAACAAAGCTGCGAAGCATCCGCAGGAGCGCAGAGGGCACAGGGGCAGGAACTCATCACGGCGGGCCCGATCTCTCATTTCTCGCCGCCGAGAGCTGCGAGCACCACGGCAGCCGGCAAGGCGGGACCAGCCTTCCCCGTGCGGGCTGACGCGGGCACCGGAACGCTTTCGAGCTGCCCAGAGGACATTTTGTTTATCCCCTGAGGGTAAAAGAGGTGTTTTTTTGAGAAGCAAAGATGCGCGACCTCTCCCCGAAGCTGCGGTCCCCCCGCGGCGGGGACCCCTCCGGTGGGTGCGGGGATGGCGAGCATCCCCCGCGGGCTGCTGGACATCTCCCGCGGCCCCGGCTGTTCCCCCGCTCCGCCGGGGCAGCCTCCCCAGCGCCGAGCAGCGGCGGGGCTCGGGCCATTATTGTACCGTAAATCTTGGAAACGCTGGAACTAATTACGGAGAGGATATGTCTCAATTTGTTCCGCATTAGTGCCGCGCCGGGACGCAGGCACCGAGCACGGGAAATTGATGGGCCCGGCCCGGCCCGGCCCCGCCGGGACAGGGGCCCTGACCCCGCGTTCAACCCGGGCCGGGCCCCGCTCCGCCTCTCCCGCACCTGCGGGGCCGGGCCGGGCCGGGCCGTGCCCGCTGCCGAGCCCAGCCTGCGGCCAGCAGCGAGGCACCGCGCGGGCTCCGGGAAATTTATTAGCGTGCGGCTAGGACGAGGCTCGGTATAAATCACCGAGCTGTATAGGGCCATAAAGCATCCCTGAGCGTCCCGCCCTCGCCCGGGTTCTGGTGAATAGGAGTTCATGGAAAGCTGGGTATCCGTAATATCTTTCAGATCTGGAGTATGTGACGGTTTTAAAGTCTTAGATATACAATGGGATATAGTTATGGAGCAGCTAAAACTATTACACAGAATTTTTATAGGTATTTTGTACTTACATACAATAGAAATTTTGGGGGAAAATGCTCTTGGGTAATATGCTCTAACCTCAATAGGTTCTTGGCATTACCGCTAATGGCTTTGAAAGTAATAGAATTACTATTTCTGCAGGAGAAAATAAAAATATTTTAAAATGCAGTGTGTTATAAATGGGTGTCTAGTAACTGAGACTTAAGGAATTAATTACTCCCAGGTTGTAGCATGCAGATCCCACTGTAAAGGCACACTGAACTCAAAATGTAATAATAAATAAACACATCAGTAACAATACCTGGCATGGACACCAATCCAAAGAATTCTTTGAGCCACCTGGGACACCATCTTTGAATATGGACATGGACATGCAAACCAAACATTTATACATTCAAAAGAATTAGGCTCCAGGTGCACTGGGCAAACGCTGCAGTGTCCTCGGTACCTCACAGGTAAGGAAAGGCACCCTCAGGTCTCACTAACTGTAGGGTACTACAGGACAGGGACAGAAGATGAATTGTCCTTCAGCAGTTTCTTCACAGACTGGCCGTGAACACGTTATCCTAAACGCTAACCATCCATGCCTTTTAGCTATCAACTTAATTCTTTAACAAACACACTTTAACAATGCAAAACAAAGCCCAAATCTCCCTTTGTTC